TGTGTCTTGCAATGTAAACACTATGTTCATATGTTCATATATGTTCACATGTCGGCCATATGTTCATGTGAACAGCATCCGTGTCTTACAATGTAAACACTATGTTCATATGGTGTGATGTTTTTCAATGTCATACCGTATGACATCGTCATGGGTTCGTGTGGACAACGATTGTGTCTTTCAATGAAAACAAGTTGTTCATATGGTGAACATATATGAACATAGACTGCAAGAGATGCACATATATGAACATTTTCAAAATCAAGGATCGTTGTGCATGTGTGTAGATATGAACATAGACTGCAAGAGATGCACATATATGAACATTTTCAAAATCAAGGATCGTTATGCATGTGTGCAGATATGAACATAGACTGCAAACATTTATCGTTTTCATTATTCTGATATTTTTTTACAATAGGATTCTCCATGTATCTTGGACGAAACRAAAATCTTGTACACTTAGACAACCAATTTCAATATATGTAGAACATAACTTGAAAAGAAGAACATGAACATGAAATAATAAAGAAATCAGAAAAATCTCATGATCAATTAGAGGTATCTTTTAAGATTTGTAACTCCCAATTAATTATTAGGGGGTTACAAAAAGGTTAAATTACAAAATTACCCTTATCATTAATTTATAATTTAAATTTGAACCTAAAGTGAAGAAAGAATGTGATTGGTTAAGGTTGGTTAGCTTAGTTTGCATCATATGGTTGGTTTCTATTTGAACCAACCTCTATATATATATATATATATATATATATATATATATATATATATATATATATATAAGTTGGTTCAAATACTAACCCATTTTTTTGTGTTAACTATGCTAATCAACATCAACCAATCATGTTCCATCTTTTAATTAGGTTCAAATGTAACTCACATATTAAGTGTAACGGTATTTAGGTAATTTGTCATTTTTATGTAATTCCCCAATATTTTAATTGGGAGTTACAAATCTTAAAATATCACTAATTGATCTTCATGTAATAATGACATGAAGTTTCACATTTGTTCATCTTACTGATTTTTATATTTCATTCTTCCTACAATTGTTTTGATATTGTAAATTTCAAAAAAATCCCTTTTGTAAAGATTTCGTTATAATCCGAGTAATATGGATAATCATAGAGTAAAACAGATCGATGACAATGAGAATGAAAAAACTAAAAGCGTCTACGAATACATTCGGAATTCGAATTCCAAAAGTGAAGAAAATGATCAAACCGTTCACGCACATGTTCACTCAAACGTCGACATATGTGTTCACTCGTGCACATACGTGTTCAATCGATTCACACAATATGTCCATTTGGTTCACACACATGTTTCAATTGTTCATTAGGTTCACACATTGTTTTGATGAAGATTATGAACCTAATTTTTCAATTGTTCATTAGGTTCACATATTGTTCATTAGGTTCACACATTGTTTTGATGAAGATTATGAACCTAATTTTTCAATTGTCCATTAGGTTCACACATTGTTCATTAGGTTCACACACATGTTTCAATCTTATTTGGATGCCGTCGTCTGGTAATCCTTCCAAATCCTCCATTGTTTTGATGAAGATTATGAACCTAATTTTTAGCTACTGATTTAAGATATTGATCGATGAGATTGATGGTTTCTTTATTGATTGGAAGTTACAGAATAGGCTGACAAAATAGAATACGTTAAAATCATTTCCTTTTTACAATTCTACCCTCTGAACCATTGTGAACCTAATTTTTTATTAATATGGTAATTAAATAATTAAATTTTTAGTCTCCATAAATGACAACCGTTGGATGTTCAAATCAACGACCAAGATCAGTTAACAAAGTTAACACGATAATCTTGGTTAGTATTTGAACCAGCCCCCTATATATATATAAGAATTAATACCAGGCTCAAGGAAAAGAGATAGCAACCAGTAAACTTGATAAATTACATGGTAGCAGGAGATTTTCGCCAAAAGCGAAGATGGCAGCGGAGGAATCTGATGGCTAGGTGAATGGGAATTAGCCTTGCTAACAAATAAGGCATATGATAGCTCATCCCCGGACTTACAGATGCAAAGCCCCGCACCTCATTAAGATCATATTGGCATACTCTCCCAAAAAAGGCAGTGGGATAGGGAAACTGTGAGGACTGAACTTTCACTTTCTTACTTGAACTCAATACCAAATGGAACCAACTCTTGTCGTTCAATATCTACTTGAACTCGCATATATATATATATATATATATATATATATATATAGGGGAAGAATCGTGTGAGAAGAGAAGCTAAGATGAAAAGGGTAAAAACGGATCTAGACCCTTGATCACCTTTAATCTTGAAACTCACTCATGAATCATACTTAATACGGGAAATAAACTAGTGCATCTCATCCTCATGTGCATTTAATGATGGAGATCTCTTCTTATACTTATCACATTAACTCATCTTCTCATCGGAACTCAACCATATATATATATATATATATATATATATATGAACACATATTATTTGTTATATTTTGCCGATTTTTAATTTAAAAGAATAGGGCTCTCTCTCTCTCTCTCTCTCTCTCTGTATAGGTACTCACAAAGTGAGAGGGGGGGGGGAGATTTTTGGAGACAAACATGAGAAATGGTGAATTGTTTAAATATTATGTTATATTTTGTGAATAACTCCTCTTTATATAATATAAGGATTTCTTCACATGTATTATATAAATA